CCATAGGATCAGGGACTATACAATTCAAATGGTATCTCTTTCTAAGAGCAGAACAATTCTTAAAAATTTTTCTTTCTTCCCTCAAATACATGTTATCTAACTTCTCCTTCTGTGGTCTCAAATGTTCTTGATCAGTTCTACCCACAGTATTGTTTCTGCCTTCGCTTATTCCTGCCTATTCTTTTCCTCTCTCCACTCATTCCTGTTTTCTTAAAGTAGCATAGGAATTTGCTCTTTTGCACTGAACTGAATTCATCACCTTTAACCTGGCATGTGAATGGATATGTGAACCCATTCTATGACTTTATTTGAGTGCTCTCAACAACTATTTCTGCTTTGCTCATTCTAAAAAATTTTGGAATTGAAGAATCTAATGTAGTTTTTATAAAATACAAAAAAAAAAGGTACAATAAAATTATGTGCCTCTTCTGAGATAAGACTAAGAGATCAAAACTTCTGTGAAAGAATGATTTAAGCCCCAAATTCTACTGTGTGCTTAAAAAGAACATCGACAAAATTGGTATTTATCACCAATTTCTTTTGGTGGTAACACTCTGACCCTAAAACCATGCAGTGCTAAATAGACGGCCTATTTCTGTTCTTTTTATCCACAGATTTCAAAGTACAAGTGAGAGGAAGGTGATATTTTCAGTCTTTTCTAGCTTAACATGGAAGGAGAACAAAAGCCCAAAGATTTCATTGACTTGCCCATTATTAGGCATAAAGGCAGAAGATGAAAGAGCACTGTTGGTCTGATTCATTCTGGGTTTTTCTTATAAAACGGCCAAATCAGCTCCAGTGAGGGTGAAGATGATGAGACTCACCAAGGCTCTAGTGAGGGTGGACATGACTTCTGTGGTGTTCATGAATGACATTCTAAGGCCAGCAGTTGGCTCCATAATAACTTGAGACATTTCATGAGTAGGAAGTTCACTATCCTCAGAAGAATTACCTAGTAATTGAGCTCTTTACTTCATTTCCTATTGTTTGCTAAAGTTGAGATGACACAGAATTTCTGCATGATGGAATACAGATGATGACCTGTATTTCCTGGAATGCTATTGAATATGTGTGTATATGTTTTCCTCAGAGCAATAGGAACTGAAGCTGTAGAAAATGAATGTTTCTTGTCAAGGTCAATAATGGAAAGTGAGTCATGCAGAGAAAATTCTTATCCGTATTAAAGTCTTGGGACGTGTTCTTCACTATCACCAAAGCCAGTGTGTAGGTTTATTAAATGCAACAGGCATAATCCACAGCTCTGGCACCATCCAAGGGAAGCCTGCAGCATCTGTAAAATTCTCTGTGGCCCTGAAGAAGATTTTAGCAGTTTTTTGCCCAATTCTCTACCATTCTCCACTGAGATGGGGTGGCTGGTCATTGCTGGGTAAAATAGAGACTTCTTCTGAACAAAGTCTCCATTTTCATAGAAAACTGTCAATAATTATGAACTGTCTCTGATGAAGTCATTAGAAATTCTCTAAAGCCATAGCATAGAAGTTTCTCCACATAAGCTTTCATTTCTTACTAACTCTAAACCTCCTCAGTTGTACAATTTTAGATAAAAATGAAATCAAATGCCATAAGTAAAACAGCTCTACTACAGTGTTAGTGACTATGATGACTGTGAAGAAATATTGGGGTCCATTAGAGGTACAACATCTCACTCAAAAATTCCTAGGTTTTTTCCAATCCTAGCTTCTTCAAATCTGAGTTTAACTCTCAGATTTGTACTCAGAGCTGTGGACCCAGCCTAGTGATCTGACCTCTTCATCAGAACTCAGAACTACCTCTAAGGGGCCAGAAGAACACCTCCACCTCCCTGTTACATGGCTTTGGCACCTGCAGAGACTACAGCTCTGAAGGGGGAAGGTGGCCTGGCTGGGCACAGTGATGATATGGATATTAATACAGGAGATTCTGGGCAATAAAGAGAAGTCCTTGGAAAATGATGATTTAGTGCCAACACTGCAGTGCATGGATGCAGGAAATTGGAGGGGAAAGGACAGACATCTTTTTAATGAAGATCAGCTTACTGAAAGTAATTTTGGATGACTCTGCACCAAGTTTGCCAAGTACAGCAAAATCCAAATTGCTTCTGAGAGGCAGGCAATTTCTCTTGGTACTATTGATATTTTCTTCATCTTCAGAACTTTTATTTTAGTCCAAATCAGCTTATTCCTAGTAGAAAAAGAGCAGGGACACTTCTTTGTCTATTTTAGAGAAAATAAAATGAAGTCAAGAAAGGTCTACTTAAGATATGGCAGCATAGGAAGAACCAGAGCTGGCATGATTTTGTGGGGGTTCAGAGGATACATCTACCTGGGTGAGAGGAACCCCTTACTCTAAATAAGATAATCCACAAATGGTTGATGACAATATTATGGACTTCTATAATTTTTACCTAAGATTCTCTTCCAGAAAAATAACATTTTAAACTCTTGTTCTTCACAAATTGTTCTCTCGTACCGAGATTAGAAAAGCGTGTTACACATGCGATTCTTTGTCACCCAGGACCCCAGACTCCTGATGATTTAGATTGTAGGACTCTTGGAAGTATCGAGTCCTGATTCTCAAATGGAATTGAGCTGAAAGTACTTTACTAAGTACAGATTTTCTCCTTCTACTTTAATTGAAAAGAATATTAAGATGCTACTATCAGAGAAATAATATATTCTGGAAGGTGAGCGATAAGCCAGTAGACAAGGATCTGCATTCCAGCTCTGCCATTCACTAGCTATGTCACCTGGAGCAGGGTACTTAACTTCTCAGAGCTCAGGCTCTATTTTTGTAAAACAGGGAGAATGGTATCGGCTACTTCAGGAAGCTGATATCAATAATGATAATAATCATAATAATAATACTTGATATTTATTGACCATATATAATACAAAACACTTTTTTTAAGTAGTATTTTATTCCAAAATTTCACAAAGAATTCAAGTGTCTAATTGTAACAACAGAAGGCACTGATACTCATTCGTATCTTTGAGATGATTTTCTGATACCTACCTCTATCACAACCGTAGTTCAAAACAACTTTTTATAAAGTTTCAGCTGTTTCAGATATCAATTTTGATACAAGATTTGATGTGCTATTAAATGGCTAGGTATCAAAATCCTACTTCCTTTTCTTTTTCTTTCATAGAAAGAAGATAGGGAATGTGCCTATCAAAAATCAGTTTCTCTATGAAGTTGAGAGTTTAGGGCAGTTGTCTCACACTTTCTAAGTTTTTAATACGATCATCTCATTTAACATTCACGATATCTCATTGAGTTGGGTGCTATTATCTTCATTTTATACAGTTGGGGAAACTGAGGCTTTTCATGCTCATGTTTAAGCCAGAATTGCAAGACAAGCCCTCTGACTTCAGGGACATGCTGTGAACTACCACATACAGTGTGAATTAATTGATGTAATAAATATAACATGCTTAGCATGGTGGCTGACATACAAAAAATATTTCGAAACATTTAATGTTAAAATAATATTGATAAGAATATTACTATTTTAAAGACAATATTAAGATCTGTTAAATTCTTACAGTGAAAGATGTCACTTTGTTAATTCTTCGAGGGAAGAAACTGAGATGCACTTATTTTTGTAGCCTCAGATTCAAGTACAGCATGCCTGGCCTGCAATATCTGTTCTACGTATATCTACAAATAGTGATCTATGAATATCTGTTGATGAAATGGAAAATGAATTTTGATTCCACTTGGAATCTGAGAAAATCTGATTGAAGTTACTTTCAATTGATCTAGATGTCCTCTTTAGTCTTTCATATTCCTTATTATTGGCCTCATAAGCTGTTATTTTAAAGCAATACAGGATACAAAAAATGTGTGTTGTATTTTTGTCTTTATCAAATAGTATTTGCCAAGAAATAATCTCCTTCCTAAATTGTACCAAAGACACATACAGAAAATTAAGGGCTGCTCTTTCCTTAACCAAGTCAAAACAGGATGCTGCAAAGTCTGAAAAAAACTGTTAGGTACTTGGTTTGGGAGGAAATAACAGGTTATAAAATTCGTTTCTAGTTATATGTATTTTTAAACTTCTAACTCAATAGCAATAAAACTGTTGTATTGATACTTTAATTTTATTTTAATTAAATTAACTTAAAATTCTAACTTGGTATCGATAATTAAAAAATAATAATTTCCTTATAATATTTTGGTTCATGATACTGCCTTTTAGGAAAGTTCATTCTTATATACCATTCATAAAGTTACTTAATTTTAGGGAGTTTACTAAAATCTCTATTAAAAATGAGAAAACTTGGGTGCAAGTGTTCATGTCTTGCTTGAAATCACACAACGGATAAATGGCAGAACCATTTCAGGAATATATCCAGGCATCTGAAAAGAAATGTGGTCTTGGAATGATGACATTGAAGAAGACAAGAGAACAGACAAGCTTCAACAGAGTTCAAATATTCAGAGCTAAATGCCATTACGTAATCACACACATCTGAGTGCACTTTTAATTTTTAACCATTTTTTTCCTCAAGGACAAATTTTCTTGAGATCATTCCTATTTTTAAATTAAAAAATAAAGAAAGAAAAAGATGGATAGAGGAAAAAGAAAGAAGATAGAAGTTAATTACAATCATGCTACTTAACATAATTGATAATTTTAAGTAAATCAACAAAATATTTCTAGAGAATGACTATAATTATATTTAATAAAACATAGATATTTAGAAACAAATATTGTGGCAAATGATTGCTGCTTAAATCATGAATATATTCCAATCAATGTTTCACATTTAATTGTCCAGGTTTCAACTGGACGTTAGCCATTGTAAACTAGAGTGAATGAGTGCAAACTTGTGCTCATTCAACCTTCTCTGTGGCTGTTTTTAAAGCTGAGGTAATAAGCACCTTGGCTCCACAAGGATCTCATTGCTATACACCAAAGCACTGTCTCTCTGGAACTATCAGTGTTGGTGACAGAGAGCAGGTCTCATAAAGAGGAACTCATGATCAGTAATTACCTTGGCATGTAAAGGACTCTCTCAGCCACCACAAAACCCACCCTGAAGAAGAGATTGCTGGCTGGAATGAACGGGAAAACCAGGAACAACAAGCCCACTAAAACTTCCTTGTGCTCCAGTCTCTGAAACACACAATAGTGAAGGACAAATTAATTTTGGTTTAATTCTACTTCAATCAGCATTTAACCATCTCTTTCATTTTCAAGTTCTCATTGAAAGAATGAATAAATTAGACCAATGATCAGTGTGTTGAATTTATTAGAGAAAGCCCTCAGGCTAAAACCTCTGGCATGTCAAAATATTCACAAGTACCCAATACACATTCGCCACCCGGAAGCATCTGATATTCACATAATATGATCAGTGTCCATTACTCCTTGTTCTGGGCTACTTGGTTCTAGCTCTGCTTCTTGGTCTTGGTCCCTTTCAGAATCCCCGTCACCCTAGGCGACTCATTTCCAGGGAGCAAAGCAACAGATAGACTCAAGCTCACTAAGGCATCATGGAAAATTAAATGTCATCCCCAAAATAGAGTATATGAAACACACACGCCACCGCCACCAAGAGAAGCAGGGCCTAGAATAAAAAAATTAAATGCCAATGGTAAAATTTGGGGCACCAAGCTAAGGAGTTTTTAGGAGTTTCGAATTAAGCCAAGTAACTATTTATCCCATGAAACTTTTTGGAATCAAAATTCATTACAATAATAACTCTTTAAATTGACAAAGCATTTTTCTGTAATATTGTACATATTAATTTGTAAAGATTTTTCTGTCACTTTTAGTTCACAGAAAAAAATTCTGTTTATTACTAATAACATGGTATAATGGACACTGAAAAGAGTAGTTTGTATTTCTATGAGTATATACAACTTGAACACATTTGAAGAGAGGCCTATTTAAAACAAACCCTAATGTATTGAGTGATATTTTTTCTTTAAAAAATTTTTTTAAAAACCAAGAACTTTCCATATTACAGTTTTAAAAGTTTCTTATGAACATTTTAGATAGTCTATTACTTTTAATAATTATAAAAGACTAAATAAAAGAATTTCAAAAATATAAATAAGACATCCTAATATAAACTACTAATACTTTAAGTTTACAAAGTAAAAGATTTTAAACATCTTGAGATATTTGTTGCCTGGATTTTATTAAAATCTTTATTTATTTTTTGACTACAACATATAGAGTAATAAAATTTCTGAGAGGAATTCCATATGAATAAATGTAATTTGGACAATTTCCCTTAAGTAGTTAATGGTCTGTAAGTAATGACCTCAATTTTTACCTAAAGGAACCGTGCTCTTTAGAATTAAAAGATGAAAGAAAAAGAGAAAAAAGTTTGTATAACAAGCCTTCAACTCTAATGGATGCAATAATGTTATATTTCTATGATCCTGTAAAACTGAGAAAAAATAGGTGAGAAAAGTAGTAAGTTCATTATATTTAAAAGTTGCAAGTTATCTTTGTAATTTAGATTATACTTTGAGTTTACAAAGTACATTTCAGTTCAAGAACTTAAAGTTTACATAATTAAAAAAGAATAAACACCTTCATAAAAATCTTGTGACATCAAGAGCAAGTATTTCTTGCTAAAATTAAAAGTAAATCCCAGAGAATGAGTGTCTTGTCCAGTGTTCCTCATGAACTCAATGCTTACTATTCAATATGAAGTTGATGTTCAATTCTTATAGGTGCACTTTCATTTTTTGAAGGTAGTTGAATACTTCTTTCAACTTTTCAAAGCTTAAAAACTTTTTACAAAAAAAAAAAATTCACCTGTCTTCTCTTAGAAATTTCTAAAGAAAATTTAATACTTCTTATATGTTAATCCTACAGAATTAAAAGGAATAATGTTAGAAACAGAACACCAACTGGGCCATTCTCCACATCTCTAGCTAGTATTTTATCTACCAAGCCACTTCCCTGCCCCTCATCTCAGTTATTAAAGAGCCCTCACTAGGGATCTGAAGGAGGCATTGCCTTCACACTTCCAATATCACCACTTCCTGTCTGACCAAAGGCCATCTTCCTTACTGTGGTAGGCATATGTTTAAGTCCTTTATTCAACAGAACTGTTGAGTGCTTCACCTGCCATTAGGTTGGGAGAAGGCAGGCATCAGGTGACAGGAGTCACCCAGTTCTGTGCCTGCCTCCCTCCTCATTCACTGAGCCCCTGAAGTGGGCAGGATCCCCATCGTGCTCACCACTTCAGGCCCCAAGAACAGCATTTATTTCCTTCATGGGGATCATCTTAGTTGTGATGACATATTTATTTATCTGTCTGTTTACTATCTTAAGTGTCTCCACTAAGACTGTAAACTCCATTAGGGCAGGGAGCTGGCCAGTCGTGTTCACTGGTTCATGGTTTATGCTTAGCTCAGTGCCTCCTGGCACTTAGTGGATGCTCAGAAACATTAGTTGAATAAATCAATAAGTGAAACAATGTACCAGGCGAGAGAGAAAATTGGATGTGAGAAGGAAAGAAGGTAGAGAGGGTTTTCTAATAGAGGTGACCATCTGAGTTTGAAAAATGAGTGAATTCTTGCAAGGCAAATTTTATGGTGGTTGTGATGGGAGGTAGTCACAGCTAGGCAAATTCCAGAATATACAAAGCAGGGTAAAACTGTACATGTTGGTGGATGACAAATCATGAAGGTTTTGTATGCTCTGTGTGGAGCTGACCTTCACCTAGAGGCAGCAGGGAGCTACATGTAATAGAGAGAAAAGCAAGTTGGTGTCCAGGAGTTGATATCTAGATTTAAGTTGTGGCCCTGCCACCAATGCACTATTAGTCACCTTGAGGGCCATGTAATTAGCCCTCTCATGCCTAAACTATAAAATGAGACAAGTGAGACTCACGGCTCAGAGGGCTGGATCATCACAAAAATTTCTTGATCAACGAAAGTCCACAGTATTGTAGTTGTGAGTTGTAGGTTTAGAGGCTACCACTCCTTAATGTTCCCTTTTGTGTTTTTCTTTGTTTTTAAAATATTCGACTGAAGACTGGCACTGCACCCAAACTCAATGAAGTTTTATTATTTTATTTTGAGAAAAATAATATTCACGAAAAAATTCTTTATTCTCAAATTAAATTCATGATTATATCCTTTGTCTTTCCTCCTCCTCATTCAGTCAAGAGAGATAGAAAATATTCAAAAACATATTTCTTTAAACTGTCAGTTGATGAGCCAAGCAGAAAGTTAGGGAAAAAAAAAAAATATGTCATGGATGTGGATGGATTTCCTAGAATGAGAAAGACTGGGAGGGAATCCAAGTTTGCATCCTGTGGATCAGAGATTTGATAAAATTGCCTTAAAACTTTCAGTGATGAGCCAAGCAGAAAGTTAGGGAAAAAAAAAAAATATGTCATGGATGTGGATGGATTTCCTAGAATGAGAAAGACTGGGAGGGAATCCAAGTTTGCATCCTGTGGATCAGAGATTTGATAAAATTGCCTAAATAATTTATAGCTTATTTCAGCCTAATAGAGTCAGATGAAATGCAAATAAAATATGAGTGGGGGACAAAAAGAAAATTTGTGGCATTTTCCAAAGTATACAAAGTGCATTTATTCTAGAAAAAGAAGCAAATAGAATTTGCTTATTCCAAATTACACTATGGGGTGAAAAGACATGAAAATTAAAAGAGCTAATAATATAGCCATTAATAATACATGTTATTTATCTGATTAACTGTGTAACTTCAGACAAATTAATTTAATTCTCTGAGCTTTAATTTGGTGATCAGTTAAAGAGAAGAAAGAGCACTGATAGCTATTGTATTTGTAGGAAAAATGTGTGAGAGAATCACTATAATAATGTTAGTTTTGATTTTATTTCTCGCTTAGGAGGATTCAAAGCAACAGCTCCCTAGGTTAGAAGGGGTAAAAATCTCTTAACACTCCTCTTAAGGTTCCCAGAGAGTCTCTCAGCTGCTATCAGCACAGCAATGTATCTGACCAAGTAGCTAAAGTTTTTCTCAGAACCGTTAATTACCTCCAAAGAAATCCAGCTCTATAATTCAAGTCTAGCCTGGTAGCTATGGTTTATCCCCTTCCCTTATAACTCCCAGTTCACCTTGCAAAGCACTGGTCACAGAGGAGGACACATACATAAACAAACACACACACACATACACACAGACTTAGATATATACACAGGTACTATGGCCAGCAGCATGTGGTCATGAGAAGAGGACTCCACCCTGTCCCACTTAACAAGGACAACATCTACTGCAGGCAGTTCCCTTCCAGAGAGCCAGAGAAGAGACCTCATTATAGTAATTATCATCATTATTACTATTATCATATTCTCCCTTACCTCTAAACAGGTTTCAGATAAAGTGTACAGTGCATTTAGAGTGTAAGCACGTTCTCATAGTTCTACGTACAGCGCAGTTCAATCCTAAGATATATTCGGCAGCTCTAGGCCCTAGCTGTCTGCATCCTATTTATCAATCCAGGGAAGCTGATGGCAGCAAAGCTCTTCAGCCCTGGGAGTAAGGCATCTGCCAAGCTGACAACTGGCATGGCTGCTTTCTTATTAGGCCCTTCTTTTGTATCTGTTTATAGGTCTACTTCCTCCATTAGACTATGCATTCCTCGACAGGAATTACCATTGAGCTGGGCAGTGAGCTAGGTTTATCCTCTGGCTTAGTGACTCCCAAATTTTAACCCTGCAATCTGTGTAAGTTTACATAAATTCTAATTTAATCTTCACAACAACTCTGTGGAAGATTTATTCCTGTTGCAAACTCTCATATGTCTTAGACCTTTGGGTCCTTCACAAATATCTGTAATTACAATCAGCAAAATTGCCAGAAGGTTATTGTATTACCTTTAGGAATAGTCTTCAATAGAAGTCTTCAATACAATAGAAGGTTATCGTATTACCTTTAGAAATAGTTATCTATTACCATTAGAAACAGTCTTCAAGGCTGCACAAGTCTGTAGGTGTACCTCCTGCAAAACTTGAGGACCTGGGCTCTTGCTGTGTTGCTTTTGTACATTTTAAGAAATTTTCTGTGGTCCAACACCCCTATTGCTGTCCACACGAAATACATCAGTGAGTCTCCATTTGAGCAAATCAGAGGCTCAGGTTTGTTTAAAATATCCTGAA